CTTGAGTAAATAATTTCCATCTCTTCATCATCAACTTGATTGTATATATACTTATTGACTTCTGTTTGAGCATACTTTTAACAATCTGGAGACCATTGTTCATAAAGTACATCGCAACCGACAGAGGCGTTGTGATCAATTAAGGTAGATCGGTCGTTACGTAATTTGACGATTTGCGCAATTTCAGCGCATCGTCAATCGTCTCTAACGACACTTCAGTCTGTTTTATCAATTTAAGGAAATAAAACAATTATCTATAAGATAAACACACATTATCAACTTGTCTGTAACTCTGTATGATCGATACAGATTTTCGACAACGTTTGTCGACTATGATTCCATACGACAACTGTAGCACGTTCATAGACTTGCCCTTCAACAAATCGTCGGAATAGCTCCTTTTCAAATTTGAATTGGTACTAGAAAATGTATGACAGCTAAAGCTCACAAATTATGCACGTAGGTGCTATGTCATGTAAAGAATAAGTGTTGTAAATTCCAATCAAAGCGGCTGCGTACTTTTTGAGGTAGAACGCCCTGAATGTGCTGCTGTAGTTTAGATTTCGACGAAAACCGGAAGTGCGTCGTAACGCCACTTATTTGGACTTAGAGAAATTTGGACTGAGAAATATTTCGTAGCTTATACAAATGTTCAGAAAATGGCCATAGGGTCTACAGCTTGAAGAAAATTCACTAATCAAAATTGAAACTGCGTTATATTATACAGAAAAATTATGCACTTCTGACCTTGACTTGTCAGTGTAAACAAAGTGTACTGAACGCACCGCAAGCAAGCACGTGAATGCCGCATTTGATACTTTGTATCAGACGCTTCATTTTACTCGACAACACAGTGTTTACGATGTCACGTTCATGTTATATTCATTAATAAATAACAACGGCAATAAACTATTTTCATATGCATGAGTATTTCCCTTATTATTCTCTTCAATAATTTTCCCATTGATTTGAATGGGGACTTCCGACTAGTGCGTCACGCAGGGTATAACGCACTTCAACTTGGCGTAGTTCTCTTATTTGGTCGGTAACCCCCAACTTTTTTGGCAAAATTAAAATCTACTTGGATGCCTCTTTACACAAAAAAGTTTTTTTNACGTAACGACCGATCTACCTTAAGTAACTCATCGCGACGTCAGTGAATTTATCTGAAAGCGATCGAAACGCTTCAGGGACAACTAAAATACTTTAAAAAGTTGATCTTTTGACCGCACGCTTTTTGCTCTCTTAAATGATCGGGAACGGTCGACTAGAGTAAATATCTGCACGCAAAGCCAACAAGAATCAAGTGAACACTCCAAATATAACGCTCCGCTTAATTGCCTCGCTTTCAATATCCCTGTCGCGTGGCATGACTAACATTATTGATGTTAAAACGATCCGAACGAGGCCTGAGCAAGGCGAAGGCGTTAAGGCACTTATCATCTCTTCGTTGATATACTGTAGGGCAGTTTATCTACTTCTTTAACCAAATATGATGATTAACTTGAACTGGGACTGAAGGAATTACAGTCACAATTTATCAAATATCAAACAAGCACTGAGTGACTAGACACTGAAGACAGCGTGCGTGTAACGCCGTGAACCTGTTGCGCGTCGAAGTCTTAGACGTACTTAGCGGAAGGTACATACCGTCAACCGTACGGATTTCAAGCTAGAGTGAAGACGAAGCCGGACACGACCCAGTTTGGCCGGAGAAAATGACCGGCTGACCACGACGTGCTAGAAGATTTGACCTTGCGCCTGAAGGCATTTATCGATGACAATATTTGTCCGCTGGTACCAGTACTAGCAAGGGTTCTTACTCGACTGAGATAGAAGAAACGGTTCTATTTGGTCACCAGTTCAAACAACAGGTGAGGATATTTCTTGATATAGTACGTCTAGTAATTGAATTTAATCTTAATAGATAATTGAATTTTATCTTAATGTCCGTTAATGTACTGACTCAATATATTTAACACTACATTTCTTCGTGTTAATGCACCTAAGGGAGTGAGTAATAGACTCGGGCGCTTTTGATAAAAACGGCGTTCGATCAGGTTAAAACCACGGAGTTCGAAAATAATTCAAAGATGTATACCTTGCCTTTAGTCACTTCACTCGAAATGAATAGAAAATGTTCAAGGACTGCGTCAAAATAAGAATAATCATATAAAGGCAATGCCCCAGTTCCCATTTAACTTTGTGCAATAACTGAATGCAGTGTACTGAATGCAGCAGTGTTGTACACAGCAGAAGTGGGCAACGAATCAAAAACGTTTTTAACCTTACTGTATTATGTTTGACAGTCTGTGCGCTTTGGGGTGACCGATGCAGGGAAAGAAAATGATTTCACTGCTATAAAAAGAAAACGTGCACCACGTACATTGTATACAGCGAGAGATCAGCTGCTAAAAGTATTAGAAAGTAAATATTGGTGATACCAGTGTCAGTCTACATGTATGTCTGGATGATATGCGATCAGCGATATATGCATGCTTTAGATAGTGCACAGGATAAATATATAATGAAATAGATAAAAAAATGAAATTAAATGAAATAAAAACTATCGGATAGGATTATAGTCAAATGAATCCTGCATGTATGCTCCTATAGGAAATTACTTTACACGCTCTAATTACCGGTATCAGAATAAAACATCAACTCGTCTATATAAAGCTGTATGCTGAAATGTAAACATTTTAGGAATCAGATTAAATTTCAACTACAGTAAACATGTTTAATAGTCCAAATTTAGTATATGCATGATCACGATGTTACGCTTCCTCGCTTTGTGAAAGCAATTTATAAAAACCATTAACTGCTGGTAAATTGATACGAACATAAAAAAGTCCAACTATGCAATGTAAATCATAGCGCCTTGTAGCTAATAAAAGAACATGTGTTTTTACAACAGGTGTTTCTCTCAAGCACCGTCAATAATTTCATTCAAACGTTTCAAGCCGGAATAAAATGCCCCTTTGGTCAAAATATTTGCTTGGAATCACAAAGCCATTTACACAAATTTATTAACACTTAATTTTCGCCCTTGGTTAAATATGAACTATTTAACAACAAAAAAGCATTCACATTTGTTGGAAACTGTTGTTTACGCTGGCCTTAAGAAGACAGTTACAATGGCACGCAGCAAGGTTTGAATGGCAGGGCTTTTATATGATTTCGCTCTGCGTAACTTTAAGATAAGCAAAGCTGCTTAAGCGCATTGTTGGCGTTGCAGGTATGTTTTTGTAATAATTGCTAGGAACGTTTAGGTTCAAGTGACACTTTTCTTTTCGTTGGTGAAATCTGAACTTTTAAATGGAGTAGCAGATGGACTGATGATGAATCTTAACGCTCAATTAAATATAAGAGTGTGTATGCATGTAACATGGTAAGTTTGCGTCTACATGTTTAAATCCTATATGGTAGTCTTTCTCTCTCTCTCTCTCTCTCTCTCTCTCTCTCTCACACACACACACACACACACACACACGAAGAAAAAACTCAGAAGGAAGCAAAGAATGAAAGAAATGATGGCAATGAAAAGGAGAAATTAGAGACAGGATAAATACGAAATTGATGAAGTTGGGAAAATGAAAAGAAAAGTAAAAAATTAAAGGGGAGGAAGAATTTCAGTAGAAGCAGGAGAGTGAATAAAATGTGAGCACATAAGGATATATGATGAGAAGCTTGGTAACATTCCTAACTCGTACAACAGACATTAATTAAAAAACATGCAAATAAGCATGCTTTGTGATATACATATATACCAACTATTCTTCTGACTGAGAAAAAATGGCTCGTCATTACTCATAACTGATTTTTAAAATATTAACAACCATATCTTACGTTACGTTACGGGTAGAACGTTATAAATTGCCACTCTTGCACACATACAAGACAACCGTGCTTTATACAAGTTAGGCCTACTTCTACCAACTTTATTAGAGCCCCCCGTTGGCAACATATACCGGTATAATTAACTGGAAAAAAGCGTTAACAAAAGATATTGTTCGACATTAAGTGCAAGTTAAACCTTTTTGCAATACAACAAATGGTCCTTAAAAACTACTTGAGGAAGCTTACAATGTTTAAGTGTGTTGATTTTGTATTATACCTTTGCGTTGTGAGCTTTGTTCATTGTTAAGTAAAACTGTTTTTATGTTTTGTTTGCTTTCTTTGTTGTGTCAGGTAAATGCACAAATGTTAGTATAAAGCACATATATAGAATACAAAAATTAACTTTTTGTTGGTATTTTAGTCAAACGGAACCCCCATTTTTGTTTGTTTCAAGAACAGGAGCTAAAATTGAGTGTGTAAATAGATTAGCAACGATGTTTGAGTGTATTTGCATCTCTCTCTCTCTCTCTCTCTCTCTTTCTCTCTCTCTGTTGACTAGTAGCCAACATTGTAGTAGTCTATTANGCACACACACACACACACACACACACACACATTTCCCTGCAACTCGCATGTGCATGAACGCATGCAAACACACACATGAAGGAAAAATTTAACTCCTACAACACGGTAGACCTGCATCATCCTTTATCAAAATGCACCTAAGACGATCGCGTATATGCTATATTTTGATAGCAAATGTGGACAAAATTTTAGACTGGAAATGAATAAATAGATAAATAAATAAATAAATAAATATATAAAAGTAAATAATGGAAAACGAAAAGGGGGGCTTAAGGTCACGTGTTTTAAAATAGAAACGTTTATAAATAGCTTAGTATCAATATGAATATTTAACATATATGCACCCTCTACCAGGACGGCAAATTGATTTGCTCAGAGATGGGTCTCCGGTTAATTAATGACGCAATTCTCTACTGTCTAGGCACAGAAAAGTGCATTTAATTAGCCAGCAGAGATATATCAGCGAATATCTGGTGTAATCCATTTGTGGCTCTAGTAGAGGGTGTTTAACATACTTCAGTCGGTAACAACTCGATTAACTGTTCTCGTTACAGATTTGGCTGGTCCTTTACTTAATGTGCACAGTACTCATTTTCACCGTAGACGCCTTTGCTACAGTGAAGTCGCTGCGCATTCCCACATTTAACCCATCCATTTTTACCAGCGCCGCCAATCTTAGCAACAAGGAAACCATGTACCTTGCCACTTCGGAGCACATTTTGCCCATTGCTTTACGTTATGCTACTTATGTTTACTTCACTTTGGACATATTATTGAGAGTCATTTCTGCACAGAGCGCCAGACACTACTTTAAATCTCTGCTGAACATAGTCGATGTTGTCTGGGTTGTGGTCAATTGGTCCCTAATCGCTGTGAGCAATTTGTTAGGAGTAAAGTGGTTGTATATGTCGGCGTCAGAAGTACGGGTTTTCACTGGGCTGGTGATGGTTGTCATGCTGTTACGTATATTCCGGATCTACCGCTTTGGTCAACATTATATCCCACTGAGAGTGCTGCTGTTGACAATGAAAGGCAGCAGCACTGAAGTGGGGCTTCTCTTTCTGTTGCTGTGCACCGGGGCGATGGTGTTCGGGCCTCTCATCTACGTAGCGGAGCTTGGCAACGACAACTCGTTCATGTACAACATCCTGATTGGCTACTGGTGGGCCGTGGTTACCATGACGACGGTCGGTTATGGCGACATCTATCCTGTGGATGTGCCAGGTTATTTTGTGGGAATTCTCTGCGTCATCGTCGGGTTGGGGTTTATCAGTCTCCCCATGTCAGTGATAAGCACTAATTTTAGCAAATATCGTGAATTTGCACGCACATTCGGAGCTCGGAAGAGAAGCGTGGATAGATATCTTTATCAAAGTTCAACGGTCTCGCCCTCTAAACCAGCCAAGGACGATCAAATGGCAGAAAATGATGAAAAGCAAACCATTTAATGTAAAGGATATTTGAAACATTCCACAAAATTTGACGTAACATGCACTCATTGCTTGTTGAGATTTGTTTGTTTTGTTTCAGTGTACCGCTTTACCCGCCATAAATGTGATTGTAAATATTTTTTGAAATATTTTTGAATAGCTACTAGGATATTTTGATGTTATATTCCCTCTACTGTGCAATTCGTTTTGAAATTCAGTTTATTAAGCGCATTGATTTTACAGCTGACAAAACTGAAATGTTGATTCAAGCTGTATTATATTGGATGCTAGATTGAAGTATGCTGTAATCATGTATACCTTATTTTTTCATTTATTAATTGTTTACGTTTAGTGGGGGGCATTTTGTTGTTTTATCATTTTTATCTATTTTAAACAATCGGTACATAAAGTTTACATTTCACTGTTGGTCAATATAGGGATCACATGTACAGTGGCGAATTTAGGGAGTTTCAGGGGGGTTCGAAGCCCCCCTTCGATTTCTGGAAAAGAATCCCACCTTCTTGAAATTAGAATTTTGACTAGCTATATCATAGTTCCAAAAGGTGCCAAATGGCACCGTTCGCCCTCTAAAATACCAAAAATGGGGGAGTGAGGGGCGAGGGGCGACTTCGCATCCGCATCCTGTCATTCCTAAAAACTGGACCCCTTCAAACAATCCTGGATCCGCTCCGCCCCTGCAGGTATTTTAAGGGGAATAAGTGGTAACCAACTGACAATGGACCATAAATGTTTTTATGAAAGATCTCTTATTCAATTGCATTTTATTTCTGTTCTGTAAGTGGCTCTTTTGCAAGATAAGAAATAGTTGCGTTAATTTGGCATGATTTTGTGTTTGGAGGCTATGAAAATAAACTGTTGATTATTATTATTCTTCAGTCCGACTTGAGCGCTATGTCGACGTTTAAGAAATAAATTTTCTGGTACATGATTACTCTCTTACTCTCTCTACTCTCTTACAAAACTTTAATTTGCTAATAAATCCAAAAATAATTTTAGGGAAAATTAGTTACCGGTACATGTATAGAAGAAAAATAAACGAAATTCAACTTAAAAATATTATTTCAGATGTAATGTTAGTCCTGTATATAAAAATAGAGAAAATTGACTTCAACTGTCATTTTAGAACGCGAGACAAGGTAACCGTTTTAAACGTCGCCCACCCGCCCCCCGCCCCCCCCCCCCCCCTGGTTCCACTCTCAACCCAGCAATATCGATTCTGGATCCACCAAAAGCCACCGTAGCTATCCTATAACGTTGCTCACTTGCGCTGAACGTACTGACATGGCCGTAAATCAGGCTCTCTGGGTAAAATAAACAGTTAATTTTTTATGATTGTTGCGAATAACAAGGGTAGGAATGTCAAGTTCAGATGAGTTACTATATAAATCATTTGCATTCTATTCATTCAAGGTACGAGAAAACCCTTCTATCGCTTTTCACAGCCGACATCTTCCAATCGTCTGCTTATCAGTTCTTTTGAACAAATTTAGTAATGAAATACAATTGACACCACAGGTACATATACATGTATAAACTGATTTATTCAGTATCAAGAGAAATTTCAATTAATACATGTATAACAGGCAGGCTTATTATACAATCCAACTGCAACAGTCGCATTAGTATTATCATAATATTGGCCTATATATACAATAGGGTGTCGCTCCATTGACAAAACTCGAGGGATATTTCTTTCTTTTATCTCTTTCATCCCTCTCTTTCAGGATTGCTTATGATACAATGTGTACGACTTCGCTGTTATTCTTCAAGCATTTGCCATGTAGTTGATCTGCAAAACGTTTGGACGAAGTGACATCATAAAATTATTTTTTTAACCATGTAAACTCAATGTTTGTAAAAAATAGAGAGGAAATGGGATATTCATAGCCCTGTGGTAATATAATGTATTTACCAATAATACGAGTAAACAGCATGTTTGCATGCACTCCTTGCATTATGTAAACACTATCATATATTAGCATGATACTTATTATAATTCTATATCCATAACAAATAAGGATAAAACATAATTTTGGCCAATGATGTCATCCTTGAACATATTATTGGCGAGCGTCGTCAACGACGTTATTGTTCACCAATTAAAGAAGAGGGAACGATTCTGTGCTGTTTATATTGTTTATTTAAATAAGACTGCGCGACAGTGCCGGATGACGTCGATGTTGCAACTTCAGTGTTGCCTGGGGGACATTTACACTCAAAATATGAAATGCATATGTACCAATAATATTCATTTGCTTTTGAACAATGTGTTGTTTTTGCAAACCTCCTGAAGATGTGCCCCGGTTAATTTTACTTTTCAGACGTTATCAAATAACATTTCAACCTTGTCCTATGTCTGTAATTCTATATAAAAAACTCCGTAACCGGTTAAAATATTGCGTATATAAAAATATATACATGATTTTTAAAAACAGTTCATTTGGACTGTGTCCGATAGATAGAAATCATAATTCATATTAAAATATTTAACACTATTTACAAAAGAAATTTCAGTTTAAAAATTGAAAACTTTTAAGTCACACTGGCTCTCAAAATATATCTTGAAGACTTGGCAATAACCAGGCTGTTTGCATCATGCCAACATTTGGTTCTTGACAGGCTGCTTACATCATGCCGATTTGTGTATTCTCCTCATTTTTCTCCTTTTCAAAGAACATGAAATCCTAAAAACAAACAAACAAATATATATATATATATATATATATATATATATATATATATATATATATATATATATATATATATATATATATATATATATATATATATATATACGCTTTCGAACATTTTCATAGCATGTTAAAGTGCAATAGTAAAAAGACGAAGAAAGACGATACTTGTTTTAACTTTTAAACTGACAATACTGGAAGAAAAAATGATAGATATTTCAAATGGTCAATACGATGCAATGTTTTTGCAGAGAAAGGTTGTAGAACAAGCATAGTATCTGACCCTGATAGAACCTCATTGAGGAAAAAGTCAGAAGAAGAAGGAAGAAAAAAATTACAATTTTAATTATTAAAATAAACATACATAACTTCGCCTCAAGTAAAATTACTATGTTACGTAGACGGGGAAGTTGTTTTGGTTTTAAAAGATATACCAGTATTTTCACCTTCCGTCTATTATTAATTAAAGTAACTATTTTGCCGTTGATTCCAACATCGACGAATACAAGTTTTCGCTATGCAATAAAAACGAAGGGCAAAATGCCTCCAGGCCGAGGCTATATTTGTCCAAAATACTTTTGAATCGCATTTTAGTCTGTGGGGGCATGTGTAGTGGGGGCATGTGTATTTTAGTCCGAAGGCTAAGACCCAATTCCCATAGATTTTAGATCGATCTATCCCTGTGGGGAGTCTCACTAGATTACTGTCAGCTTAGCCGGCTTAAGCGTCTGTCCCGCCTTCTAAAATCTGTAAGGGGGTAATTAACTATGGTGCGCGCTCGGCTGACTGCAATTTTGCGTGAACCCCCAGGGAGATAGGTCGATCTAAATCTAAATCTCTGGATCGATCTAAATCTCTGGGAATGCACCCGTAGTCTAGCTGGTGGATCCAGGATTTCGCTAATGGGGGAGCAAGGATAGAAAAGATTTTCATCGTTTCATTAAACAGATAAACTCTAAAAATCCTACTATTATATGCAGGGAGTGGCAACAGGGGAATAATTAAATTGGAATGGTCTCTTTTGGATACGTCATTGACCAAACATCCCTCCTCTGATCAACACTGGCGCCATCTTTCGTACTCACAATGAGGAACACAGCTCCCAGCATGCATGCTTTCATCTTGACGTCCAGGTCCATGGGGAATGAAACACCAAAATTATCAGCGTCTGTAAACAACTCCTTAACGAGTCCCGACCATTGCTTGGAGACCTGGCCAACCTGGTGTTCACCATCCGCGGATTTTACCTGTTTGCATAAAAATAACAATTATACGTGTTGTAAGGCTCTTTAGTAATTCCATAGAAAAATAATAACAAACAATAGAAAATTGAAATTCATTCAAAAAAACAAAAAAAAAAAAAAAAAAAAAAAAGAAGAAATTCAACTCAACTTAAGCAGTAAATAAAGATTAAATATTACCAGGATATAATATTTATGAGAATTCTTAAAAAATTAAAACGATGAACATGAACTTTAACCAAGGCCGGTGCATCCTTAAAACATGTACTTAGTACATGTATTTGAATATCATTTTTTAATCAAAATTTTATTCTTTAAAGAAAATGTGCTCCGACTGCCAATCGAATGCCTTTTTTTAAATTTCAGTCAAAATAAACTAGTTGACAAACGGCAAAGTTGTGACTTACGTCAAAAATGACGTCACCACAGGCGCTGCAAGGGACGCATGGGCCCTCAATTCTCAACACGGTGTCGCCCTCCGCGTTGCAAATGGCGAATTTTGGCACGCAGACACTCCAGGACTGTTTGACATAGCCTATGACTTGGCCTACTGGAGCCTCTACTGTCACTTTCTAGAATAATAGTAATAATTATAATTATAATAATAATAATACTTACTGTCTGTCATAATTTATTTACTTTTTTTTTATTATTTATTTTTTTTATGATGGATATCTCAGGGTGCTATTCATAACATTGATCTCGAGAATTAATTCTTTACTAGTCTAAGTCACATGTCAAAAGCGAATAACCCATATTTTCAAGAGTGGTTTTAGAATGAGCGAAATCTAAAGAGAACAAAACAAAGACATAAAGAAAGAACAGAAAGAAAGAATAAAAATTGCAGGAAGTACAGAATAGTGAAACGTCAATACCTCGAAACAAATAAGGAACCAAACATTGAATAGTTGATTATTGCAGTACTTAAATTTTTTTTGAATGAGAAAGAAAAAAATTAAAAGCACAGAAGGAGGGCAATACCTGTAAACAACAGGGGAACCAGCAAGTATCACAGCGAAGTGGGCGTGACAGGTGAATGACCTCATGACCTTGGGGGGTCATAATCTGGATGTCAAACGGCCTCTCTTTACCACAGCAGTTACGCGTACAGCAACACGTGTCTGAGGGGGGAATGTAAATATTATATTTAAAAATCTAACAAATATGATTATCAAAAATAATCAAATATATTTAACAAGTGAAAATATAATGACTGTCAAATAATTTTTTTTATTCATCAATTATTATTATTATTATTATTATTATTATTTAAAAAGATTGCTATTTTCATCCTCCACATTCCATTTTTAATTTGCCAAGTATATTTGGTAGATTCAATCTCGCATGCAGACATGGCAAGCGAGGCGAGACAAACTTTCTCCGCCCAGTGTTTTTCTTCCAATAAATCATAATCCCCATCACCCCCCCCCCTCCCAACCCTATCCACGCCCCGATATCCCGGATAGCTCACCTTCAGCGGCGAAATACACCCTCTGCCCCATGCTGTTCTTGATTTCGTATTTGTTGTTGGTTTCATAATCAGTGAAGGCTAGAACAAAGAAACACTTTTTACAGTGAACAACGTTACACAATACGTACAGTACGACAGGCAATGACAAGTTATTTATCATAATCATAACTAATGCACTCCCAATTTCAAGTTGTTTTGCGTATATCTGTGATAGACAATACGAATACGATCAGCATTGAACAAAATCAATTTACGGCAGTAGAGTTTTTACGCTGCCTATTATGTAAAGATTTCAAAAACTGAAATTGTTTCTAAACAGACTAATCATCTCTCGTAGGTAAGAGGAGCTTAAGCCTCTATTACCGAGATATATTATAAACATAGGCTTATCCACACACTTTTTTAATTGCTACAATATAACTGAGAGGATGCAATTTGTCACACCTAACGCAATCATAACCACAATGGCGCAGGATTACCCTCCAGTAGCTCCACCTGCTGGTGAAAAGTAGAAGCTGGTCTATCATGCTGAGATACTCCATGACGACACTAACTTACCCTCTAGTATCTCCACCTGCTGGTGCACTAGAAGCTGGTCTATCATACTGAGAAACTCCATGACGTCACTAACTTACCCTCCAGTAGCTCCACCTGCTGGTGGACTAGAAGCGGGCCTATCATGCTGAGAAACTCCATGACGACACTAACTTACCCTCTAGTATCTCCACCTGCTGGTGCACTAGAAGCTGGTCTATCATGCTCAGATACTCCAGTCCGGGGGGACAGCCCTGAGGGACTGCAGGCTGGGGCATCCATTGAACTCCTCCACCTAAAATTTACATACATCCGATGGGACTGTGATATTGTAAACATACAAAAGGTGATTTGGTGCATTTATGAATGGCTCTACGCTTTAACTACTTGTTTCCACGGTCTACAAAAGTTAATACAGACTAGTTTCATCTCTGGCTTTAGAAATACAACCATTTATATATAACGGTTTTTGCCAGGACAGTGCGTAAAATATCTTCATGGTAAATATTTACTAATTAAATGTTAGTATCATAACTTCACCTTGTAGAGTTCACAAATATAATTCCCGATCGCCGCTTCCCAATTCTTGGTGTCATTATTTAATAAACGCACAATTAGCTGTTTTATGGTTTTATTGAAAATTTCCGCGCGTCCGTTGGATTGGGGATTAAACGGAGCTGATCTTCTATGATCAATGCCTAGACCCGATAGGTATGCCCTAAACTCATGGGCGCTAAATTTGCTACCGCGGTCCGATATGATCACCTCCGGGAATCCGTGTGTAGGAAATAAGTGGGTAGCTAAAGCTGTTTCTACTGCATAAGCAGTTTTATTTTCAATAGGATAGCATTCGGCCCACCCAGACAAATGATCTACAACCGTTAAACAGTATTTATTCCCCTTTTGTGATGTTACAAATGGACCGATGAGATCCATCCCTACTATTTGAAAAGGGTAGGCTGGTATAGGCATTTCACCTAACCTCGGCCTCTCAGGTTTGCTTTTATGGACTAAGCATGCGTTGTTTGGTGTGTGGCCGCGGGGAGGGAGTGTTATATACTCGTGTTTCTATTTTCGCCATTCTTGTTTGTAATTTTTCTTAACAGTTGGCTGTTTTGTGCATTTGTTCTAGTAGGAGTGTATTTGTGTCAACCGCTGAGATGTCCATAGGTTCTTCCCGCCTTTCCGATTGTTGCATTTGTGCTTGATGTGCTAGCACGTTTGTTTGTTGGAAAACTGTTTGTTGCTGTTGCGGCTGTTGTTGTTGTTGTTGTTGTTGTTGACCCACGATTTGACGGTACATTTCTCTACCGGAGTCTTCTTGTACGGCCCAGGTCTGGGCTTCTACCAACGTTCTCGGGCGACCCCTCACGAGAAGGTTTTCAGCTAGTCTCTTATCTAAAAGAGCTCTTATGTACGCGCGAAGAATTGTCCGTTCTGCGTCTTCGTTACGCGGAATTGGGTAGGCCCTGTTACTGGCCTCTAAAAATCGCCGATTAAAAGTAGTTATGCTCTCATAACCCGACTGCGTAATTATTTCTAGCTCTGATTTTAATTTCTCCGGTTCGTGTGGAGAGAGAAAAGACCTTTGAATATGTTCTCTTATCGTGGGCCAGGCCGTCCCGTGCCTATCGGGTTGGGAGTTTAAAAATCTCTCTAAATCTCTCCTCAGGCCCCCCCTCGCGGACTTAGTCACCAATTTTACTATACCCCCCGGAATATCTCGCACTGTGTCATTTCTGTTTGTATAAACTTTTATTATTTTTAAACTGCGCATATGTATATACATGTAACTCTTCTTTTTTGTCATTTTTTTTCAATCAAATATATAAATACACGGTATTATCTTAATTTCGATTCGCAAAAAAAATCTAAATGTACCGTTATACGTATTGAATACATGCATTGTAAAGGTGCTTTCCCAGAGATTTAGATCGATCTAAAGATTAAGTTTTAGATCGACCTAACTCCCTGGGGGTTCAGGCTAAATTGCAGTCAGCCGAGTGGACACCATAGTTAAAAACCCTCTTACAGCTTTTAGTAGGCGGGACAGACGCTTAAGCCGGCCAAGCTGACAGTAATCTAGTGAGACTCCCCACAGGGATAGATCGATCTAAAAATCTATGGAAATAGGGTGTAAGAGGCGGTACAGATCACCGTGAACGTTCACTCTAGATGCACTGCAAACTTCAAGGACCAAGAATGCAGAGGAATTTAGTCTTTATCACCCAGACCGAAAATTGAGCCGGGTATGTGTCTACGGGTATATTGATTCTGTATAGAAAAATGGATAGATTAGGACACAAATACCACCTTTTAATTTTTCTATTATTTCAACGTCTACATATCCGTGTCTACATAGACATTTAGGGCTTTAAGGTCAGCATTGACCTGGATATCCGTATCTAGGTCACGAAGTTCACTAACCTGGAGCTGGTTGCATTCCCGGCTGCATCATCATTGGCTGTGCATTCATCATGGTGCTACCTGGAACACGAAAGAATTTAATGAAATTATGATTCAAAATGGGTTTAAGTCACGTGGATAACATTATTTTAACCCCCTTTCAATGCTAGGAAAAAGTAAACAAAACGTCATTATTATTATTATTATTATTATTATTATTATTATTATTGTTATTCTTTCATGGCTAATATACTTCATGAAGAAGAAAATAAGAGAATGCGGAAAGAGCGTTTTTTCAGTGGACTGTCAGGGATTGCAGATGATAAAATGTGGACCTTCACGAAAGGTTAATTGATTAAAAACACTGCAAGTGACTAGTAATCCCTTTTTGGGCAAAACGTTATCGATTCCTTAAGTGAAATTTAGGAAAATCCAAATAGAACCCCAGAGGAAATCCTCTCCCAACCATTATTTTAAAAAAAATAACAATAAGAAAATTAATGAAAATTTTATTTTCTATAAAAGATGGTGTAAAAATGGTAACCTAGCTCTACCAGGGACGCAGATAAATTTCTCTAACGCGAAAAAAGTCCTGAATTACTGCAGCCAAATGCTGTTGGAACAATTATGATCTATAAATCATTTTCAAGGGGAGGGGAAGGTGAATGAAGAAGTGGACGCCTCAGAGGCCGCTGAGGGACGCGTACCCTCCCCGCTTTCCATGTGACGCGCATTAGCACCTATTGCTTTTCTGTGGTATTAGGGCGTCATACACCCCATTTCCATAGATTAGATCGACCTACTTTAGATCGACCTAACTCCCTGGGGGTTCACGCCAAATAGCTGTCAGCCGGGCGGACACGAAAGTTAATTACCCCCTTACAGCTTGTAGTAGGCGGGACGGACATTTAAGTCGGATTATCTGAAAGTAATCTAGTGAGACTCCCCGCGGGGATAGATCGATCTAAAATCTATGGGAATAGAGCCATACATTCATATGAATTCGGCTGAGCGTGATGTTATAGGGGCAAAATCTAGGATGCGGTTTACCTGTAGAAGTCAACTGGATCCCAACCCTATTTCACAGGGGGAATGTTATTTCACAGTACACGGGACATGACATGCGACTTTGGAAAACTAGAATGAAACCACAGTGTAATCTTCTGTGTGATTATTTTATACCTTAATGAACACCGTGTCGTGGGCTTATTGGGACGTGAATATACTATTTTCGCAGCGACGGAGAGTCAGACCCATAATAATCTTTAAGCACGTTTGCGTTAAGATTAATAAGAGTATAAACCAGGGAAAGTAGAGGGGTCATGACCTTTATTGTTTTCCTTATCAAAACTCTATGACGAGAGTTTGGTATACACATCATTACATGTACGATGTATACTCGATCTTCCACGACAGGTGATCGCACAAAGGCAGACAAGCGGCCCCAAACTTTTCCCGACTGGAAACAATTATATATAATAGAGACATTAGTAATTAAGTTAATGTACTCACCCTATTATTGCTGAAAACGTGCACAAAATAACTCCACGAAGTAATTATAACAGAAGGCCGCCGTATTGGAAGTTGTGATTGTTAATTGACGCATGCGCATCTGCTATTGATTACCCGTCTCCAAGGGCACAATAGCATACCTTGTATACTTAAGTCAAGGCTACTATTTACTCCCTTGTGCAGTATTTAATCTGGTTGTATTGTTGCTTCACGCACCGCACCACACGATCAATGCGTTGAACAAAAAGGTAATGGATGTTATTGAATTGTTATTATGACGACCGTAGAACGATGCAAGAGTAAAGTGAACGTGGGGACACAACATGAGATCACTGAACGCCGTGGAGTATCACTGTCAAAAAGAAGAATTTATATGTGGGAGAAGGCACATTATATTAAAAAAGCGTCTTGCTTCGCTCGGCAAATATAAAACAGTAGATGAGGACATTTTCACCGTAAAACATACATGTACACTTTTCTTTCTTTCTTTCATTATTTCTTTATTCATTTATTTATTTATTTATTTAGGTAGGTAGGTAGGTAGGTAGGGGGAGAGGAGTAAACGTGCTCCTCAGAGGAGCTCCTCCCTTGAGTCCCTCAAAGCTTGACACAGAGTTTGGAAGGCTGGACTGGCACTTGATATAGAGCATATGAGTTGGAGTGGCTCCTTGACAAATTAAAAATAAAAATTGCTGCACTAGCATAATTAATTGCTGATAATTTCCCTCTCTCATGAAATATATCACGTGTGTCTGGACAATAAGTATAACATCTGCTCACTGTCTAAATAAGACATCCTAAATAAGTAGAAGCCCTAAAATTAAATCAGTGTGTGTATATGTATGTGTGTGTGTGTGCGTGCCCGGATGTGTGAATGGAGAGAGAGTTTCTTAGATAGAATGAAAAGTTTTTTTTTTTTTTGTAATTTTTCATTACTAGTTTTGAAGAATTTTCATATATTTGCCTTCTTTTCAGAAATACGAATGCAGTCTCCACGTTTTAAACCCCGGTTTGTTTCAAATTTTTGTGCACTTCTGAGTCAATAAGAATCATATTTTCCGGATAACAGACAAGGAATCCTTTCTTATTACGAAAGCTCGAACATTTTCTCTTTATCTGAGTTCAAATCACCCTGAGCTTCAGAGATAATTTGACACTTACCTGACACGATGAAGATAGGCTATAGTGAAGAGGTTAGTGTCAAGTTATCTCTGAAGCTCAGGGGGAGTTCAAATATATTTCATATCTAAAATGGCAATCCAGGCGTTTTTTACCGATTAAGCATTTTGTGAATTTTGCAGCATATATCCTTACAATCATATCAAATATAAGATAATTGCATGAATAAATAGTGCAGGACAACTCAGCAATTGATCTGAACACGTAAATCGGATTAAAATAACATAGAGTATCGCTTATTACCGCAGACGCATTCAAATCTATACTAGTACTCAATGAATTACATGTACATGTATATAGAACTTCGAGTGGATGTGGATTAAAACTTTTCAAGTAAGCTGTAGGAAACTATCAACGATGCTGACATTGTTGAGAACACCAGCGGATCAATATCCGATCTATTATTCAAGCTGGGTGTCAAAGACAATGAGTTTAATTTGTATGCAGCAAGCCGTGGCGGTCAAAATCACCATCTCTATGCTATTTACATGTTATTGATCTGACTCGCGCGCGTTTACAAGTCTCTTGGATATAAGGCAGTTGAAGAGGACATTTTTTATCAGCGGAATTGATCGTGGAATACACGGGTATAGGAAATTAAGGCGAGCAAGCCCGTCGTTTTGATATCATGTCCGCCACTTTGATAATCATTCAGCCCTTACGTCAAAGTGAATGGTGTTGACCCTAATTTTATATTGCCCAAGCCAATATTATGCGAAAGGGACGCGACGCATTGAGTGCTGTGTTTCTGGAGAAGATAACAAAACAGTCACAAGAGGGCGGTTTGGAAAAATCATATACTCTCTCTTTTGAAGTGAAATCGGATAATCAATGAAATTCTCAATACCAATGATTCAAAGATGTGACTAGTTGTGATAAGTTAAACACTTTATTAAATATATTTACCCTTAACCTAGTAACGGGCATTGCTTATTACGTGCTGATGCATGCGGAAAACTCCTGTGTACAAGTCTGCTAACTACCCTCTACCAGAGCCACAGATTGACTTTTCACAGGATATTCACAGATACATCTTTAGATACATAGACGGTCATTTTACTACCTCTGACTTTTTCCCTTTTCCCTATAATATCTGCCACCCTGGTAGAGGGTACTTGCTAACCATGTTGTTTTCAAGTAAAAATCCAGAATTAGGAAGTAAAGGATTGAATGGAAGCTACACACTTAGGCTTCATTCACATGCAATGTCTATTTTCTAAATTCTATTTTCTATTCGCGCTATCTTATGATCACGGTCTGTGCCCTGAATATCCCGCCGCGTAATTACTGATTGAAAATAGACATTGCATGTGAATGAAGCCTTACGGTTTATCATAAACGCTAAAATGCAAAAATATACAAAAATATACGTACATAGTGTTATTATCAAATAATATGATTATTTCAATAAACAGCTGATCCTTTACATTCATACACGGACAAATTTACAGGATCACCAGTGGCGGATTTACGGGGGGGGGGGGGGGGGGGTCAGAGGGGTCCTGACCCCACCTCCGATTTCTGAAAAAAATCACATCAACGGTCCCCTCTTGAAATAATAATTTTTACTAGCAGAATCACAGCTCTAAACAATACCAAATGGCACTGTTCGCGATATAAAATACCAAAAATTTTCGGGGTCCTTTAGCGGGCCGCGAACTCCACGCAAAGGGCAGGAGGGGCAGAGGGTCAGCTTCGCATCCGCGTCCTGTCATTCCTAAAACTGGAACCCCCCTTCATATCATCCTGGATCCACCCCTGATGACTGTTATAACTTTATACATAAACATTGCCTCTCTTACCAGTACGCAATGATAAGTTATTTAACTCTATTACTGGCACTAATATTTCTCTATAACTGACAACGTAGGGTTTCCATTTAGGAAATTTCAGGTCTACTGAGTCCAGTGATGGATTTAACTTATCTTTACGATTGGATGGGTAACATTATTAGTACAATATTAGTATTAATGCCGCATTTTTGAATTTTTAAAATTTTTAAATTTATAGCTCTTGATAAGTATGGCAGCTCCTGGTGCATACATGCCGTCTTCCTATCATTTTGTTGTATAATATCACCTCCAACACCAGTTGTGTGTGTGTGTGTGCGTGTGCTTGCGTGCGTGTGTGCGCATGTATTTGCTTGTGCGTCTGGGTATGTGTGCTAGTGACGTATAGTATGCCTACACATTGATGTCCTGTGATATTTGTCCCCCGTGAACACCTACATGTACAACCTTTTGGAGGCTTGACCCATACACAATTAATACCGGAAAAAAAGAACATTTTACTTGCAAACACGAACATTAAGATCCCACCCTACACGAGGAATATTTTTTTTAAATTGTATCTTTTCTTTATATTAAAAAATAGCTAATTTTGCGACTGAAAAGGTTCTCCTTTTCGAGTATCAATTTCAAAAGCGAATATATATTCAGTTAAAAAATTTAGATAAAATTCTTCCAAGCATTTGTCGTGTAATTGATCTTTAGAACGTTTGGACGGAAGTGGTGTCACAAAATTATTTTTTAACCATGTAAACTCAATGTTTGTAAAAAATACAGAGGAAAAAGGAGGTTTATAGCCCTGTGGTAATATACTGTATCATACGAGTATCATACGAGTATTCCGCATGTTTGCATGCACTCCTTGCATCATGTAAAAACTATCATATATTAGCATAATACTGATTATAATTTTATATCCATAACAAATAAGGATAAAACATAATTTATCCAATGATGTCATCATCGAACGCATTATTGGCGAGCGACATCAATGGCATTATTTTTCACCAACTAAAGAAGAGGGAACAATTCAGTGCTGTTATTATTGTTTATTGAAATAAGACTGCACGGCAATGTAGGATTACGTCGATGTTGCCTTGGGGAACGTACACTCAAATATAAAATGCATATGTACCAATAATATTTATTAGCTTTTGAACAATTTGTTGTTTTTGCAAACCTTCTGAAGATCAGACTCGGTTGATTTTACTTTTCAGACGTTATCAAATAACATTTCAACCTTGTCTTATGTCTGTAATTCTATATGAAATATCCGTAACCGCTTAAAACACCATATACATATACATGAATTTTAAAAACAGTCCATTTTGACTTTGTCCAAAAAATTGTGAAATCCTGATTCATATCAAAATATTTAACATTATTTACATAAGAAATTTCAATTTAAAATTGAAAACTTCTAAGTCACACTGGCTCTCAAAATATATGTCTTGAAGACTTGGCAATAACCAGGCTGTTTGCACCATGCCAACATTTGGTTCTTGACAGGCCGCTTACATCATGCCGATTTGTGTTTTCTCCTCATTTTTTTCCTTTTCAAAGAACATGAAATCCTAAAAACAAACAAACAAATATATATATATATTTTTTTTTTTCCTACGCTTTCGAACATTTTCATTGTATGTTTAAGTGCAAGAGTAAAAAGACGAAGAAAGACGATACTTGTTTTAACTTTTAAACTAAACTGACAAAACTGGGAGAAAAAACGATAGATATTTCAAATGGTGAATACGATGCAATGTTTTTGCAGAGAAAGGTTGTAAAGCAAGCGTAGTATCCGACTCTGATAAAAAAAAGTCAGGAGAAGAAGGAAGAAAAAAATTAAATCTACAATTAATAAACAAACATAACTTCGCCTCAAGTAAAGTTACTATGTTACGTAGACGGGGAAGTTGTTATGGTTTTAAAAGACATTTTCACCTTCCGTCTATTATTAATTAAAGTAACTATTTTGCCGTTGATTCCAACATCGACGAATACAAATTTTTGCTATGGCATAAAAACGAAGGGTAAAATGCCTCCAGGTCGAGGCTATATTTAACCAAAATACTTTTGAATCGCATTTTAGTCTGTGGGGGCATGTGTATTTTAGTCTGAAAGCTTAGACCCCATTCCCATAGA